GTCTGTATACAGTTTTAGACCGCATTCAGAACAATGGACTATGGCGACCCCATAAAAAGCTTGCCGCTTAATCCGCTAATAGATTCCCCGTGTGGAAGTATTCAAGTGGCTCGGCCATATATGACCATCAGACTAGTTAGTCCACTGTTCAGAATGCGGCCTAAGACCTACCTGTAGTGCATGAAGGATTGGTGGTTGGCATCAATGGCGACGGAGACGGGTCCGACACTGCTCAGGGCGGAGGCCAGACCAGACTCGCTACCACGGCGGATATCGGTGTGTCCTTTTACTGTGGCGCCGATGCTGTTCCTGTTGAAGTGGCATGTGCCGTCCTGTTGAAAGGGGGGACAGATATTTGAACTACATGATTATATGGCCAATGGCAACCATTTCTCTGTTGACTCAAATGTTCGGTTTAGTTACAGGCAATTAATACTATAACAGATTACTATAGTTGAAACAATTACATGTCATTGCCATTGTTGCAAAGATTAAAGAAGTTCGAGTCTCATGGAAGTATCAAGTTGAGGCCAAAGTCGATAAACAGACGAGTATTGACGACTGACAAAATTTGTTTAACATACTGAAAAAAACACGTTTGTATTAGTAACAGGTATGGTTTAGTACATTGAATTCACATTGGTTATTAAAAGATTAACAATATATTACCAATTTGCCGACTATGCCTTGAATTGTGTCCTGTCATACATACCCTTCCTGTGTATGAGTAAGAGCTCTCAGTGTCAATTCCTCCGTTAGCTGCGATGTATCTGAAAGCGTTGTCCATGAGTCCTCCCCCGCAGCCATTGTTACCTTTACAAATTAATCAATTAATTAATTAATTTTATTTAAACATTTTGAATAGTTGGTAATACTAGCTGTACGATCAATGTGCTTTTTCACAATTTGCTCAAATCCAACTTTGTCGTTCCTCAGAAACAACACAATATCACAATATGCAATGTCAACGTCAATGAACTGAGGATTAATACGGGGCTTAGCATTGTTTTGTTTCTCATACTTGTAAGCTGTCTGATGCCTGTGGGGGTGTGTTAAAAACAAAGTTGACTGAGAGAGAGAGTCTCTACATTACCGTATCTTCTTGAGCAATCAACCAGTTGCTGTTCGGAGAGAGAGACCAGCTTGCCGGTAGCTCTCTTGTGTTGACCTTCCACAGAGCCGGTGGTGGAGAAGGCCCAGCAGGAGCCGCAGCCTCCCTACAACATACAGCAAGAATATCGGCACCATGTTATCACAGGGAATAACAATGATGTGACGTAAGTACCACGAAACACTGGACAGATGCACTACCACTACGTTTTTGTATGAAGGATGTAGCAGATGGGCCATGTGACTGAGACGTCACCTGACGGGGGCGCCCGTTTAAGGGAAAGTTATCAAAAAAAAAAAGGTTAGAGATATTTGGACATTGTCGCAGTTTCAGTGTTTGCCATGGGTGCTCTAGATCTGTTTGATCCGTGTCCCAGAGTTGCTCAGCATGTGCTGCAAGATGGCAATACTACTGAAGTAAATCCGTCAGCTGATTAACATAAACATGTTCCAATTACCTGGTTTTTCACTCCAGTGACGTAGCCCTTGGATCTCCAGTCCACGCTGGCGGCCAGTTTCTGGTCAGACGGGGGCATGTACAGGGTTCCGGTCTGGTTCAGGGGCATGACGTACCCCAACATTGTACGTGAGAATTCCTCTAAGGTCTGACAAAAATATAAAACAATATTGGTATTCTACGTGAACGGTTTGTGTCTGATTTCCCAGTGTACTTTTTATATATGCATGTATATCTTAAAAAATGTTTTCTTCAGAAAAAGTAAAACGATGGAAATAGGTAGTAACACGTACAGATAAATATTGAGCTTCGAACATGTGTTTGAGTGTTCGCGCTTCTGTGTGTCTGTGTAGTTATGGATATAAAGATTTGTAAGATGTACGTCACATAGCTCAATGTATTACGACTTCTACTAGTATAAATCTCAAACATGGTACCATATCGTTGAACTGGTTGGAGCCCACACTGTAAGTGTGAAGACCCATGTCGTAATCTCGGTTGTGTTTGGCGATCCACTCTAGTCTGTCCTCCCAGATTGCTCTCCTGGAAATGATAAAAAGCAACCAGATGAACCAGACATCTTGAAATATGAAAGCAATCAGAGAAAACGTGGGGGCTGCTTGAAACTTGGCTGCTCAGTATTGCTTGTCTCTTAACTTCATAATAAACAGACGTATAGAAGAAGGCTTTTTTTAACTTGTAAAGATATAGAGTGCACCTAGGCTTGATCGGCATAGTATGATCATTAATAACCTCTAATGTATCCATAGGATAAAGTCATTCCCATCTATAAAAGATTAATTCTGTTTATGTAACTGTCTCAGACAATCAGCTCTACAAAATGTTGAGTCTTTAGTTTATGTTCAAAGGACACTTGCACCGATACTATATCGACACTATCTCAATCATGAATTTAGTGATAAAATTTGACAAGCAGTGACATCAGTGTTCGATAATTATCGCATGATTCCTGTGTTCGCGGAAGCACCTGTTGTTATCCTACATATCAGAACCTCTGATACAATAGTGACAATGCAGATATCAGTGTAACAATGTGTTCAGAAACGGTATCATTCTGAATCGCCGGCTAACATCACTTGATTACAATCACTGATAACAACACAGAAATCTATGTATAGGAAATAGATTAGCTTCGATAATTTTTGAGTTGATAACAATGTTGAATTCGTTGATCACGTACTTGATCAGAAGTTTATTGAAATACTGAGCAACATCTAAAAAAGTTCTTATTTAATCTACCAATTTTTATTTGCGTTTTGTTCCATCATGTTAGACCATCCGACCTCACTGCCTTTAAAACGGAACCTAGTTTTTGAACTGATTCCCTAGTTTTTGGATTTACGTTAAAAGTTTTTCAGACCGAAAATTGATTTTCCTTCATACAAGTGTTTTGCGGTGTACATTGAAGGAAATACAAGTTACCTACCTGTACAATTCCTCGTCATATGACCTGTATGATTTCCCGTGGAAGTTCTTCCATGTCTCCCACTCAGAGTCCAGGGTCTTGTCAAAGGTATAGAGCTGAGAGAGGGCCACGCCCACACAGGCAAATAGTACCAACAGACGCATCTGGAAGACATGCCGTTTTTAAGTGTCATTATTAAAGGTTTTCAGTTTGAAAACAAAAATCAACGAACCCCCCATTTTGGATAACACATCGATACACGATCGAGTCCACTAAAAACGTGACAGCCTAATTAAAAACAGCAAAATTAATGTATAAATGATAGAATAAATAGTTAAATAAATTGATGAAATAAATAAGCAACAACGTTCAACGTTCTATATGCTTATCTATATTACATGTAGCGACAACCTTTTCATGATTTAATGATATATAGTAAATAGAAAATGAAAACAAGGATGATTACTATAAACATATCTGACACAAATAAATTACGCACAAGCAATAGTTAAAATGACATTTGAATTGACGAGCGACCACTGTAAATTAAAATAATTTCTAAGCTGAAATTTATTTTTAAAAATTAGAAATAACTGAAGAATTACTGATGCAATGTTTTCACTGATGACAATGTTTTCACACTCAATGCCACATCGATTCAAGTTTGTAGCGTCTTGGTCACATACGGGTATCCCCAGTTCTCTTACCTTTCAAACTATCGTCTGGCAAAAACGCGGAGAGTGACGCGATGTGCTCTCCCCGCTGTATTTATACCCATGGTCACAAACTGATAAGAATACATTGATGTCATAACATTTGGTACCCGATCCAAGTTTGGAAACTTTTTCAGCAGCTGAAACAATGGTCACATGCAGTCCGTTTCACCGAGCCGCTCCGTGACTTGACTGGAATGGGTGATACGCCCACAGTGACGTGTCCATAGCTGATAATGGTGAACTTGTCCATTCGGCAGACTCTATTTTGATCTAGGGATTTGGGATTTAAAATAGGGTTCTAATTTCATTTTTATCGATCCTGTTTTTCGGTATTCAATATACGTAAACGTTTACCGTCATTAGTAGAATTGTTATTTGTAATTCATCCAGGTTTTAAGTCTTTTTTTTCTTAGTTAATTCTTTTTTAACTATGACGACATACGGTAGGTGCATATGAATATATTCGAAACGAGCAATCATGCCAGTCTCTCTCTTTGCCAGCGACGTCATTTTCATGATAACTAGTAGTTGATGCTAAATTTAACAAGTATGGGAATTTCTGGATATTTCCAGCCGTATCAGAAAAAAATTGCTGTTAAAATGGGATGTTTCAGTATTTCTGTACAATAGTACCGGTATGTTACTGCGCCATCAAGACTGTAAACGACAATTGTCTGTGTTTGTATGAGCCTACAGATGTAGGGCCTACATGTCCGATAGGTTATGGACAACACTGGCGTCACGTCAAACATTCACGCCGTGTTTATAGGCAATAATTGTGTTGAAGATTAATAAATAGATATAAAAATAAATTGCTGAGTTCTTATAATACAATGTCACATTTTTCTAGCACACTCAACGAAACAGTAATACTACAAAGTAATGTGCAAATTACGGCAATAATAAAACAAATGTTATGAAAATAAATAACGTTTTTTTTATGTGTGTGTGTGGGCGAGCCCTGCAGAAAGGCCTCCATCGGAGCTGTCATATTGGAAAAAGAATGCGAAATGTGTTTTAAAATTCATCTTTAACTAAGCCCGCCACTCCCCCTCCCGCCATACTGCCAAAATAGAAAGAAAGAAAGAAAAGAAAGAGAGAAAGCAGTCTCAAGCTAAGAAAGAGAAAACGGCAATTATTTAACCCTTGTCATTGTCATTGTCTGCCATCAAAATTTATACCCCCCCCCCCCCCCCCCCCCACAAACACACACATCCACCCGCCGTCCTTCACAGCAAAAGCAATCGGTCAGAGCTGTGTCCCAGGTGTTCTATATTCTTTTAACATTAAAATGTTTATCAGCCAGTGAGGCGAGAGTAGACACTGTTTCTATAGTTTAAGGGAGAACGCAAACAGGAATCGATAAGACGACCTCTGCGCGTGAATCTCATTACTGGTACAACTGAGCGTCTCAGGTCGTCTGGATACAAGCTCATATACACACACTGGCCGCAGGCTCCATTATGGCCCCCATCCTAGGGTACTGGAATATCCGAGGGGTAAGTTTTGTACGCGTTTATAACAATATTCTCATAATGGGGATCCCTTATATACTTAACTTGTACTGGCGTTTGTACAGTATAATGTGAGAAGGGCACATTTGTCAGCTGTCGGGAATACATTTGTCTGGGTCGACTATGAATCCGAGAAGCCCTTTCCCATACTGTTATGTAGTAATATGTAGTTAAAGCATTAGATATTCTAATGAAATTGTTAACAGCCACTTAAGATTTACAGGGGCGGATCCAGGATTATTTGAAAGGGAAGGGGGGGGGGGGGTTCAGAACGCCAAGCCTCGGATGTGAAGCCGACCATCGTCCCCATCCATTTTTGGATGTTTTGGAGGGCACCGTTTGCCTTAGGAACGGTTTAAAACTACGATTCAGCTAGTCGAAATTCTAATTTCAAGAGGGGAATATTGGTGTGATATATTTTTCAGAAACCGAAGGGGGGGGGGGTCAGGACCCCCCGGGCCTCCTCTAAATCCACCACTGCATTTAAACAGACTTGTTCTTATCGCCCACAGTGTTAATAGCACAACGATCGCTACCTATGATTCGTGTATTAAAATAAGTTTTATATATGCTTTACCTACATGTAGGTTACCCTGTAGCCTTTATGTAACATACTGAGAGTACTGGTCAGTACCTTACTATCCGCATTGTGTAAACAAATACATTGCTTAAAAATACACGCTAATATAGGTAACCGATCACGCGTTCATGCATAGTCCTCCATTAATAGCGGGGAAAGTGTCTCTCTCTCTATATATAACAATGCTGAATGCAGGTTGCAGTATTTAGCGATAACCTTGAGACGTTTAATCTGTCTTTTCTGAATAAGTTTATGGGGCAAAACAACATAATTTATGAGCGTCGTGTTTAGAAGTACAAGAGTTATGTTAGAGGGAGGGAGGGAGAAAGAGAGAGGGGGGTAGGGGATGAGGGGGGGGGGTGAAGTTGTTGGCAACCTGAAGCTACTACTACTACATGTTGTGTGATATTAACAGACTGAGTCTAACACGTGGTTCACAACATACATGTATATCTAGGCCTATAAAGAACAAAACTTATTTTTGGGGGGATAAGGTTGTTTAACCCTAAAAGTACGTAAAATACTTGGTTTTATATACTCTAGCTTTGTCAGCCTATCAGACTACTGCTGAACTATGTTGGAGAGGAATATGAAGAGAAAGTATATGCACTTGGACCAGGTGGTGTATATTTCCCCATGATGTCCATGTTATCATCAATCTCTTTCACAAAGTTATAATATCAAATGAGCGTATAACATTTACTTGTGTGATTTAATAAAAAGTGCAAAATATGTATAATATTAAAAAATAAATGGATAGCCCAACTCTTTCTCTCTGAATTTACCCACTTAAGAAATATTATTTTTTAAAAATATAATAAACCCACATGTTGCTTTCGTTTTCTCCACTAAACAGATACTATATTTCAGCTCCTGATTTCAAGGATGACTCCTGGATGAGTGAAAAGTTCAACCTCGGGCTGCCGCTCCCAAATGTAAGGAATACAATATAAGTTTAACATGTACAGTTTAAGCAATTAAAGAGCAATACAAAAACGACACATTTCCAGTAGACTCTACAATGCCGTTATTTTGCAAAAGTTATATGACAAGTATGACAGTTAAAATGATTTTAAAATATGTATCTTCAAATAAAACTGCAGTTGACTTCGAAAATGTCTTCGTTTTCCAAAATTGAAAAAATTGTCTTATCTTTCCAGCTTCCTTACTGGATAGATGGCGACACTAAATTAGTCCAAAGCCACGCCATCTTAAAATATCACGCAAGAAAACATAATTTGTGTAAGGTTCCAGCAGCCACTAGTTCAGGGCACTTGGTCTCAAAATAAACGAGAAATCTTATGGATTACTTTATTAATGTTTAGTTAAAATTAAAATTTCCTATTAGTTTTAAGGGCTAGAGACCCTCTGGGATCGCATTGCAAGCCCTGGTTCATGCCCTTTGAATTTATATCTGATTTTAACCATTTTCTGATGCCAAGTAAAACGACAGAGAACTTTTGATTTTGCCTATTTGTGAACATGCAAGCCTACATATTGGCATTATCTACATCGTTTTAAGTCAAACAGTTCTTATTTATCTTACATATATTCATACTGTTGTTTTCTGGCAATATATCTCAAGGTCCCAAGTCGGAGGCAGAGGTGGTACGCTGTGATATGCTGGAACACCACCTGACTGACGTCATAGAGCAGCACGTGTATTTATGCTACAGCAGCTTCGTTCAGTGGGGAGATTACGTGAGTAAATAGGCTTACCTGTAGCTGTAACATAACCCCTTCGTCTGTCTGTGCATGAATACATGTTAATGTCTGTCTAAATTATATTTGAGCCAGCTAGGTTAAATACATGTGGTGTAAAAGAATAATTGAATATTTTTACTTTTTTTGTAATGGCAGGAGACTAAGAAGGCAGAGTTTTTAACTGCATTGCCGGACAAGATGAAGCATTTCTCAGAGTTTCTTGGTGATCGTCCGTGGTTTGCTGGCGAAAACGTGAGTATCAAGCAGACAGTAGGGGATGGTATTACGTGGGGCAATTTATCCCGTTACCCTGGGGTCCCCGAGAGACCTTGGGGCGCCCATTGGCAAAACATAGGTTTACACGTACTGCATAAATGCACTATAGTTTTCTTCATGTTTATATATACATTTATCCGTTTAAATACTTCAGAGCAGATATCTTGGGATATCAAATAGAACGTTTTATCCGTTTCTTTAAGCTCACTTTCGTGGACTTTCTGGCCTACGATATTCTGGACATCCATCGCCTGTTTTCACCCGGCTGCCTGGACACCTTCAAAAACCTGACGGATTACATGGAAAGATTCGAGGTGGGGCAGTCAAAAACTAAACTCTTCGCCTAAGCATTTCTTTCATCTGTCCGACAAACTTGTATGTAATGTTATACGCCCTTTTGGTTGCTACTATATATAGTATATTCCATTATTGTAGTTATATCAAAGTGTGTTTTTTCTTGCGGTTCTTTTTACCAGAATGCTGAACTTCTTTGACAAGAAATGTGAAGCCATGATTTCATTTTTCATTATTGGTAGACAGTGGTTTATGCATATATTAACATATATCTTAATGTTGATTCCGATATAACAAATAAGTCAGAAAGTGATCCTTTGCTTAACGTTGTCAACGTAAAGATTTATATTTATTATTTGGAATTAACTCATATTCATGTATACATTTCAATCACAAGTCTTTAAACAACGTACTGAACCAGACTGTGCTAAACGTGTGTGATATTATTTCCGTGACAGAGTTTTCGTAAATTGTGTTCATTTTTCAGGCTCTCCCCGCCATTCAAAAGTTCATGCAGTCAGACAAGTTCATGAAGAAGCCAGTCTACCAAGATATAGCAGACTGGAGCGGGAAATGATTTTGGAGGTTGTCTGCGAATAAAACACAGATATTTTTGTTTGAAGTGAAAGGGGCAAGATTACGTGAAACATCCAGGTGTATAGATTTCGTGTGTCAAAGAGCAAAATCGATTAAGATCAACCATAGTGTCTTAAGTTCAAAAATGAGTTCAATGACTGTCCTACATGATATAGATTTGAATTTATCAAAGTATTTGACTTTACATGCAAAGGACTGTAGTCGGATGAGCATTAACCAAAGTATGCGGATTTATAAATCATGTGTAGGACTGCGGTACTTATACGATTCCAATTAATAAAAGTGCCCCATTTTATAAAAATAAAATAAAAGTTAAATAAAAAAGTAAAAAACTGAAAGGGCGTACAAAGTAAAGTGGTTCAACGGGAACATGTTTTCATCATTCACATGTCATTTAATTTCAGTGAAATGACTTAGGCCTAATCAATTCACTCCAAAATACCCAGCTGCACCGACGTCCTCAGCATTAAAATAGAAAAAAAGCTTACAAGCAGAAAGAAAAATTAAAAAAACGCTACAATTTTCAAACAGTGTATTACATGGAATGCAGTCTTATGGTAACACAATAATGCCACGAATAATAATGTCACTGACTTTTAAGTTAAAACAATCAGTTGTACTAAGCACATATTATATATTAATTGCCTCTGTAAAAGGGCAACAACTGGGTGTAGGTTTGAATTACATCACCCCTAAGTTGTGAATTTCTCAATGAATTTGAATACAGATATTCAGCAAGAGTCCAAGCGGTTTTAGACCGATCTGCGTAGAACGACAAATTTCATTGAGAACGAGCCCTTAGAGTAAAGCACGGGTTGAAAATGTCAGAAAGCTCTTATGTTCATTAACAGGTGTCTTAAAAGTCTACACTGAAATCTGGTGCGAGATAATATTTGTATAGTCTACTTAAGGTGATCGTCAACGTCCAAAGTCTTCGAAGGCTGACGTACGGCCGAGATATGCAGGCGGGAGCTTATAGGGGCCGTGCCTACCGTGTCTTTGAGGGGCAAAATGTGGGTCATACTTGATACGAACGCGCTGTAGACAGGCAACAGACCGACATGGCACCCGTGTTAGGATACTGGAATATTAGAGGGGTAAGGAGCCATTAACTGTTTTCTTTTTGTTAAAGATAACCTCCAAAAGTAAATGATGTCGCGATTTTTGCAAGGGAGGGCGTATGGGGACAAGCACGGCGAGGGAAGTAGTGATACTATATACGATGTGTTTATTTTGGGTGCATATTTAGGTACCTGTACCAGTGATCATTTAGTTGCTTCATTGGTCATTGCTCTCGCCTTTTAAATATTGTAAAGGATGGTCTGCTATAACGCAGGTTAAGTCGGTATTTCATTCAAAGAAATGTCTCGGTTAAATTATTCAAAAGAAGACAGTGATTTAGGGTGAAGCATGTAGTTACTTTATTTCATTGGACTACCAGTACAGATTCAGATTCTTTACTGATACACACTTTCACACACAAGTTACCACCAATGACAGCACATCTAACTGTAACAAAACAACACACTATAATTAAACCAGTATTCAGGTCAACAACACTTTTCGGCAAACGGTCGTTCACTTGTTGAGCTAGCGCTATAGCTTGACATTTTGCAAATTCAGCGATGACTCACTTGGCCTTCACTTGGCCGTAAAGACAACGTTGACATTTTCAGATAAGCAAAGCTGATGTATGTGGTGTCCTAGAGAGGGAGCCATCTCTGCGCTTATCTTCATCAAATATTGACAAACTTGACCTGAATTGTCAGCTTAGAGAGCGCATTCACTAAATGATGATCAGCGGACTAACAGATCCGAGGATCAAATATGACCGAGTCAATACCGATTAATTCCAGGTACCTAGCAATTAAACCTTGTCCGGGGGGGGGGGGGGGGCGTCAGGGAATTAGGCGGTTTGCTTTGGAGTGGGGTCGGCCATATTTAGTCTGCGGATCTGTTAGTCCGTGGATCTTTTTCTGAATGAGATCAGAGATATTAAGATAAATATTGTTCTAAGTTTAAAACAGTACAGTGTGTATAAAAGAAACAAAATATAAAAATAAAAACACAACAAGTTCATATTAAAGAATATAAACCAAGCTTGCAATGAATTTTCACACCCTTTTTTCTAAAGAAAATAATTAACGGAAAGACAATGACGATTTCTGTGCAATTTCTGGGCAAGGTTTTCGCGTGTATTTGCTGTAATACGTTTTTCTCTTTTGTTGGTTCTTGCATTGTCTTCTGGCCACGTTCCAAGCGCCTTTGGGGACCATTTCATCGGTTGACCTTTTGAGATGACCCGTTCAAGTCAGAGTGTTCTGTTTTTTATCCTTTTAGCTTTGCCAACCCATCAGGTTGCTGTTGAATTATGTAGGACAGGAGTATGAAGAGAAATACTATGTACTTGGTCCAGGTATCACATGTGATCTCTCTCTCTCTCTCTCTCTCTCACACACACACACACACACACACACACACACACACACACACAGATTAAGCGATTTCTAATGACGGAAAGCTGCACGCGCTTGTTTTAATGATAGAATAATGTGTTTTCTGAAAAGAAGAGCTTCCAGTACCTTTTTCCGTCATGGTGCCATTCTACCCTGTAAATTTTCAAGAACGACATGTTACAGTTCCATACAATTATTTCAGCTCCTGACTACAACAATGAGGACTGGATGGGGGTCAAATTCAACTTGGGGTTGTCATTTCCAAACGTACGTAATTGCGTTAGCTGTGACGGAGAAAATAAGAAAATATGAAAACTATTTTGTGACAGAAAGAACTTTTCCTTTTCCTGTTACGCTATTTTATGTACGATTATGTTAGTTAACGGCTGAAATAGGGGTTTGAACTTCTTTAGCATTGTCTCCTTCTATGTATATACTCCATATGTACAAAAATTGCAGCATGGAATTTGTGTTGTTTTTATCATTTATCGCTTTAAACAAAATGTGACACTATTAGTTAGTAAATGTTTGCTTCTCTTTCAGATCCCCTACTGGATAGATGGCGACACTAAGCTGGTGCAAAGCCATGCTATCCTTAAATATCTGGCCAGGAAGCATAACCTCTGTACGTCACTTTATATATCCTATATCTGTAACCTCTATGTTAAGTATATTAAGGGCATTTCCACTGCAACTTAAATCAGGAAGCATCAAACTACCAAACTTAGTTAAATGGGCCTTAGCCGCAAGACTGGACTCATTTAGGTAAATAATTTTCAACATCTAGCTGTCACCCAATTAAAATAGCCGTTATTGTTATACAGTAAAACGTATCAAACATAGTGTTCAGAAGTAATATAGAATGGCATTTCAGGTCCAACGTCGGAGCCAGAAATGATAAGATGCGACATGCTGGAACACCAACTTCAGGATTTTATCATGGAACATATCTTTGTTTGCTACAGTAGCTTTATTAAAACGGGCGATTATGTAAGTATTTCCAAGCTTGCCCTTTCATGTTTTGGTAATATTTTTGAGTAGAGCAATACGTTTTTAAAAACACTTAAACGGCCACTTAAATGCCTAATGTTTGAACTGTCAAAATCAAAGCAACTTTTCACCGAATCTACTTTCAAGTTGATGTCGATACTTTGTCTGAAGATCACACAAAAAGTTTTTAGTGTTTGACGATGTTTTAATTTACACCCAACTGAATGATGATACAAAATGGTAACACGCAGTGTTTTGTCCTAGGAAACAAAAAAAGTGGAATATTTAGAGAAACTCCCGGACAAGCTGAAGCAGTACTCGGAGTTCTTGGCAGACCGCCCATGGTTTGCAGGCGACAAGGTGAGGGTGTGCTGTGTGTGGGAGGCGGGACGGGGGAGGCAGCTATAATTTCTGCTGATTGTGATTGGTTAATATTTAGACCTATCATATTTATTTATTTATTTATTTATTTATTTATTTATTTATTTATTTATTGTTATGCCTTTAGTTAGGTTGTTTGTTTTGTCCATGTAGATGGCGGGAGGGAGAATGGATCATGCATGGACATGTACTTTAGCCTTCTGGTACAGTTTCCTTAGTCTCTCTCTCTCTCTCTCCCTCTCTCTCTCTCTCTCTCTCTCTCTCCATCTCTCTCTCTCTCTCGAATTTTATCGTACTGTGTACTTTACTGCACTAACAATAAGCATTGCTTCCTTCAGATAACCTTCGTGGACTTTATGGCGTACGAGTTTTTTGACATACAGCGCGTGTTTGCCCCTGGCTGTCTGGACGCCTTCAAGAACCTGACAGACTACATGACAAGGTTTGAGGTGAGACGCTTTGAAACAATGGATCAGTTTGCTTTATCTCTGAGACTTGTTTTATAAAATACACTTGTATGACCCTCTAATGGCGCATTGCCAATGAAACAATGGTTCAGTAAGTCGATCTAACTCCGTAAGGACTCTCCCAGAATGGAGCCAGATTAAATGAATGACAAGTGTCCTCGAGCAGCTCGAGCGGGTTCCTTTAGTTCCAGGTGCCGAGCGCCAACGAAAGTTTTAACTTAAAAATATTAAAACAACCCCTTTGTCGCTCGAGGAGGTGTGTCATTCAGTTAACCTGAGACCCCACGGAGTTGGGTCGATCTCGGTAGAGTAATATTTTAAATTGGGAACGTGCCCCGATGCATTAGATGTGAGTATTCTTCAGTATAAAATCTCACGTCGTCATTTGAATAAGCATCCTTGTTTATACATTTTTTTTCTGTTATCAATAAATTATTCCTCTTTCAGGCCCTCCCTTCAATTCAGAAGTACATGCAATCTGACAAGTTTTTAAAGAAGCCGATTTACAACAAAATGGCGGACTGGCGCGGTGACTAATCACAATGTTTCCGACATCGACTTTAACAGATGCCACATAAAACGTTATAGATGGCAGAACCTCGCTTTATGGGACTTACAGTTTAGCATGGCACCTGCACTTCTGCAATTACTACACTGAATCATAACCCGTGTTTTCGACATTGTTAGATTTGAATAAAAAAAGCATTTTAGGTAAAAGCCTCAGTTCAACCGGTCTCATCAAGTTCAAATTATGTCACAGGGCCAATTTCAGATCACGTTGGAGACAAACACACCTTAGACCCCTCACCCTCACACTCTTAGGTTCAATTTCAAATTGTATTTTTTTTTTTTTTTTTTTTTTTTTTTGTGATATGAAAGTCGTCTGCATATTATACATGAGCGTTTTAACAAACATAGAATTGTACTTTTTTACTTCATCAAGACTGACAAAATTCATAAAGCGTAAGAACTGCCAGTCCTGTTCGATAGAGCTTGCTCAGTGAAAATAAAGCTTTTTGATTAAACTACAGTTGAAGCCATTATTATACTGATGTCGACACGATGTTTTTGCTTTATACAGGTACGTTCTCTCAATTGACATTTTGAAACAAACAAAGGTCTAATTTTGCGTACATTTTTTTACTTGCTTTATTTTAAAATGAGCATTTTTTTCAAATTTCTGGTCGTTTGACTATTTCAAGGTATGGGCTGCAAAGGTAGTGTATTTAAGCTCAATGTATTTTACAAGTGCTTGAAGGTGTAAATGTTACAATCATTTGATACATTATGTCTAGAGCAATCATATTTCACGTAATGTCCATCCGTACTGGGGGTTCGCACCCTTCATGCCCTATTTCACACAGACCACGAATCCCACGAATCGCCAGGAATTGACATATTTCAGGATTCGTGAGGATTCGTAAGATTTTGCAAGTTTGCTGTTCTAATTCGATACGCCCTACGATAAAGTTACGATACAGGTGCAATGGTGTTACGAATATTCGTGGGATTCGGCTGGAATCGCACGAATATTGCCAAGAACTCACTACGATTTACGCGAATCTATTACGAATACTGCACGACCGTTACGAATCAATAAGGAATCAGTTAAGCATACGCCGAATGCATGCACGAATTGGGTACGAATAAAAGTTATTTCTGGACTATTCTTGAGATTTTGTGGTATTTCCGCTTCGGCGAATATTCGTGGGATTCGTGACTGCTTCGTAGCCGATTCGTGGTCAATCCAGGGATTCACGAATCCCCGAATGAGTTAAGAATACATACGAATGCCTACCAATCGATTACGATTCAGTTACGATGCCTTAGAATGAAATACGAATTTGCTACGAATTAACTACGATTTTTTGGAATCGGGAGTTCGTGGCCAAAATTTTGAACAGCTGAGCATGCGCGGCCTAGTTCTATATCACGTAAACCCTTTGTTCCTGAAGACTCGGCAGAATCCCAGTCAAACTTCAACTTACAGGTAAGTCTCGTTTAACTGTAGCATTAAAATAGATGATAAAATGATAAAATGCTTGTAAGCATTTAAATAGAATAAATGCTTACAAGCAGAAAGAAAAATAAAAAAAAAACGCTACTATTTTCAAACAATGGATTGCATGGAATGCAGTCTTAATTTTCACGATAACACAATAATGCCACGAATTATTGACTTAAAACAATCAGTCCCCGTGGTGTGATTATATATAATAGGCACATATTGTATATTAATTGTCCTGTTAGAAGGTCACCAACCCTTAAGTTGTGAATTTCTCAATGCATTTGGAAACAGTTAATCAACAAGAGTCCTAGCGGAGTTGGACTGATCTACGTAGAACGACATCTTCATTGGGAACGATCCCTTAGAGTAAAGCACGCGCTGAAAATGTCAGAAAGATCTTATGTTCATTAATAGGCGTTTTAAAAGTCTACACTGAAATCTGGTGTGAGATAATATTTGTATAGTCTACTAAAGGCGATCGTCAGCGTCCAAAGTCTCCGTAGGCTAACCTACAGCCGTTATATGCAGGCAGGAGGTTATAGGGGCGTGCCTATGTGATAGGAACACACTGCAGACAGGCAGCAAACAGACATGGCGCCCGTGTTGGGATACTGGAATATTAGAGGGGTAAGGCAGCCATTAACTGTTTTCTTTTTATTTTTGTTTAATAAGAAAATCTCCATAGATAAATAATGTCTCGATTTTTGCAAGGATAGGCGTATAGGGACAAACACGGCGAGAAGGTCATGATACGAAATGTTGTATTCATTTTGCATGCATATTGAGGTACACTGTAGATGCACCAGTGATCACTTGGTTACTTCATAGGTCATTGCTCTCGCCTTAATTAATGTAAAGGACGGTCTCCTCTGATTCAGTTTAAATCGGTGTTTCATCCAAAGTAATGTCGCGGCTGAATTATTCAAAGAAAAAAGTGACATTGTTTTAGGACGATAGTGTCTTTACTTCAGTGGACTACTAGTACAGATTCGGATTCTTAATTGATGCACACCACACAGAGGGAGGGAGCAGTGACAGCAAAACTATAACAAAACAACACGCTACTATAAAAACCTTTTTGGCTAACAGTCGTTCTCTAATTAAGCTAGCGCAATAGCTTAACATTTTGCAAATTCAGCTAGGACTCACTTGGCCTTCACTTGGCCGTAAAGACAACGTTGACATTGCCAGATAAGCAAAGTTGGTGTACTTGGTGTCCTAGAGAAAGAGGGCTCCCTGCGCTTATCTTCATTAAATATTGACTAACTTGATCTGACTTGTTTACTTCGAGAGCGCATTCAGAAAAAGATGATCCGAGGAACAAATATAACTGAGTCACTTAAAAGCAATACCGACTAATTCCCTGAAGGCCGGCCTCTTCGTCTGTTGAACCTTTGAGATGACCCGTTCAAGTCAGAGTGTTATGTTTTGTATCCTTCTAGCTTTGCCAACCCATCAGGTTGCTGTTGAACTATGTAGGACAGGAGTATGAAGAGAAATACTATGTGCTTGGTCCAGGTATCAAACACATGTGATCTCTCTCTCTCTCCCTCTCTCCCTCTCTCTTCATCTCTCTCTCTCTCGATCTCCTATGACAACAAGTTTTGTTTCTATTAATGAAAGAAGAATGTGTTTTCTGAAAAAGGGGCTTCTGGTACTTTTTCCCGTAATAGTGCCACTATACAGCGTGTTACTGGTCCATACAATTATTTCAGCTCCTGACTACAACATGGAGGAGTGGATGGGAGTTAAATTCACTCTGGGATTGCCGTTTCCAAACGTACGTAATTGCGTTAGTTGTGATAGAGAAAACGAGAAAATATGAAAACTGTCTTGTGTCGATCAGCAGCAAGAACTTTTTCTTTCCCTTTCACAGTGTAATTTCTGCCTCATCAGTCCCTATGTTATATACGACTATGTTAGCTCATGCCCGAAATAGCGTGATGAAATTCTTTAACATTTGTCTCTAAACATGAATATATTCCATATATACTAGGATAAAATTGAATCATATTTATTCTGTATTGTGATTATTTTGAACAAAATGTGACACAATTATTTAGTAAATGTTTGTTTTACAACTCCTTGCCTTCGTTTTCAGGTCCCCTACTGGATAGATGGCGACACTAAGCTGGTGCAAAGCCATGCTATCCTCAAATATCTGGCAAGGAAGCACAACCTCTGTACGTCCCCTTAGCAAAATATCAGCTTTGTTGTATATTGCAGCTTGCGACAATATTGCAGCAAATTTGCTTCAAATATTGCAGGAAACTGCAATTCCTTCTTGCAAATTTGTAGCTATTTTGCTGCAACATGACTTTAAATTTTCTTGCTAACACTTGCAAACTCGTTGCCCCAAAATTTTCTTTTTGCCAAGGGTCATTTTCTCTAAATCCACAACAGCTACAGATATCTATTGTTGATCAGTGCCGTTGATTGTTGTAGACTTTCTTATGTACCTTCAAAATTATTTTATCTGCTTTTGGGCCGTAACACAACCCGACTTTAGTTTTACTGGGTTTCAGATGTAAAAAGCATTGTATTCTCTCCTTTGAAGTTAAGTATATTAAGGGCAGTTTTACCGCAACTTTAAATCAGGAAGCATCAAAATGTCCAACTAAGTTTGATTTGCCTAAGCCGCAAGATTGGACTCATTAAGGTAAAAAAAAATCAACACCTATCACCCAATTCAAGTGTAGTCGTTATTGTTGTACATTGTAATGTATCAAATAGAGTGTTTAAAAGTATAAATAAAATTATGGTATTTTAGGTCCTACATCGGAGCAAGAAATAATAAGATGCGACATGCTGGAACACCAACTTCAGGATTTATTCATGGACCACGCCCTCGTTTGCTACAGTACCTTTATAAAAATGGGCGATTATGCAAGTATTTCTATGCTTAGCTTGTTTTTTTTCATCATATATTGGTGATATTTTTAATATGGGGTAGCTAGTGAGACACGTTCGATAGTTTTTTTTTCGTATTTGCAAAGCGTTTAAAACATTTAAACAGTCGCTTAAATGTTTGAATCACCAAAATAAAAGCAAGTTTTCATCGAATCTGCTTTCAAGTTGATGTCGATTATTGTCTGAAGATCATACAAAACTGATTGCCTGTTTGACGATACTTTGACTTGGACTGGATTCCCATACTTAGATCGATCCATCTAGATCGACCTAACTCTCTGGGGGTTCACGCTAAGTTGCTATCAGTTCTAGAGGCATAAATGTCTGTCACGCCTACCGAATCAGCTGGGGTGTAATGTTAATTACCCCCTAACAGTTTTACTCAGCGTGACAGATGTTTAAGCTGGTTAGTTTGATAGCAATTTAGTGAGACTCCCAAGGGAGATAGATCGATCCAAAAATATGTGGGAATGGTCCCTTAAACACAAATGAACGATGATACACATCAGTAACACGCGGTGTTTTGTCCTAGGAAACAAAAAAAGTGGAATATTTAGAGAAACTGCCGGACAAGGTGAAGCAATACTCGGAGTTCTTGGCAGATCGTCCTTGGTTTGCTGGCGACAAGGTGAGGGTGTACTGTGAGGGACGGGAAGGCAGCAATTGCTTCTTATAATTTTGATTGGTCAGCATTTAGATCTATGATATTTTTGTATTTATTTATTTATTTATTTATTGTTATTCCGTTGGCTATACGTTGTCTGTTTTGTCCATGTAGATGGGAAGGAAAATGGAAGATGTAGTTTAGCTTTCTGGTACGGTACCCACTCGTCTCTCTCTCTCTCTCTCTCTCTCTCTCTCATGAATTTTATCATACAGTGTACTTTACTTGTTCTGCTCTTACAATTAACAATGCTCTGCGTTTCCTTCAGATAACCTTCGTAGACTTCATGGCGTACGAGTATTTGGACATACAGCGCATGTTTGCCCCTGGCTGTCTGGACGCCTTCAAGAACCTAACAGACTACATGGCAAGGTTTGAGGTGAGACGTTTTGAAACAATGCGCCAGTTTGCTTTATCTCTGATAATTGTTTGATAAAAATACATTTGTAAGACCCTCCAGGGCCTATTCCCAATGAGATATTCGTTGGCCAGATCGATCCAACTCGGCATGGACTCTCGCTGAATACAACCAGATTAACTGAATGACGATCCCCTTCGAGCAGCCCGGGCTCCTTAAATTCCAGAAGCCGAGCTCCCACGAAAATTTTAACATTAAATATTAAAATATTAGATATTAAAATAACTCATTTGCTTTTTGAGGAGGTGTGTTATTCAGTCAATCTGATTGCGTTCAGCGATAGTCCCCGCGGAGTTGAGTCGATCTCAATAGGATGATATTTTCAATTGGGAACTCGCCACACGGTATGATTAACTGTATGTGATTTGAATAAGCATTAAATGTAAGTATACATCAGTATAAAACCTAACGTCGTTTTTTGATAAGCATCCTTGTTTAAACGCTTTTCTGAAACTAGTGTTATCAATAAATGTAAATGAATTCTCTTTCAGGCCCTACCTTCCATTCAGAAGTACATGCAATCTGACAAGTTTTTAAAGAAGCCGATTTACAACAAATTTGCGGACTGGCGCGGTGACTAATCACAATGTTTCCGACGCCGACGTTATACAGATTCCACACAAGACTTTTTAGATAGCGGAAACTCGCTTTATTGGAGTCACAATGCAGCATGGTACCTGCCTTCCCCATTGACTACACTGAATCATGGCCAATGTTTTCGACGTTGTTATTTTTTAATAAAAAGCACTGTACATGAAGGTAGAAGCCTCAGTTCAACCGGTCCCATCATATCCACATTACGTCACTGGGTCAACTTAGACGACTTTTGCGATTGGAAAGCTGACTGCGTATTATGCATGAACGTTTTGACAAACTTAGAATTGTACTCCTTCTTCAAGACTGGCTTTATTCACGAAGCGCCGAAAGCAAGAATAGCACAGGCTCTGAATTAACAGCAGCTGTACGATTGTAGTTTTCGGCTCTCTCGGGCGCAATAGCCTGCAAATCAGGCTCAAATGTCATCTTCACTGAAGAGGCTACTAGAAATTAGGCCAAAACTAAATACATGTATGTCTGCAAACACTAACATATTCATTTTTGACCTTTTGAAGACGTATCACCAGCTTAACCACTTGGTGGTTCAACTTTCTAAAACTAAGAGGAATTAAAATGTTTTATTTCTGACGTGCTAAATATCGAAAGCAGATAAGCTAAAATAATTCTGTAATAACTCCTCGTTGATCCCTACACAAACGGATAAGCATATAAAAATTTAAGCTTAACATTCTTTAGTTTTCTCTGATTAATTTAACATTTTATGTAACAGAGATGTTTGATGTAACACCGTCTGTTACAGGAACTGTAGTTTTCAACAGATCTGCTACACTAAGGCTCTATTCCCATAGATTTTAGATCATTCTATCCCCGCGGGGAGTCTCACTAGATTACTTTCAGATAATCCGACTTAAATGTCCGTCCCGTCTACTACAAGCTTTAAGGGGGTAATTAACTTTCGTGTCCGCCCGGCTGACAGCTATTTAGCGTGAACCCCCAGGGAGTTAGGTCGATCTAAAGTAGGTCGATCTAATCTATGGAAATGGGGTGTTAGATTGGTGTTACACTGGTGTTAAGTAAGAGGTCAGAATTGTTGATTAATGTAACATATTTGCAACATATCTGTAACACTAACACCTAACACATAACATACCTGGAGTTCTGACCTCGCCCAATGACCCCTGTGGTGCGCAGTTCCTGTCACGCGCAATTCTCATTTCCGCAAAAGATGAAAACTGTCAATAGCGTGTTTTTGAGGGGAAAAATGTGGGTCACACTTGATAAGAACGCGCAACAGACAGGCAACAGGCAGACATGGCACCCGTGTTGGGATACTGGAATATTAGAGGGGTAAGGCAGTAGTAACATGTTTTCTTTTTCTTTAAGAAAACCTCCAAAGGTAAATGTTGTCTCGATTTTTGCAAGGGTAGGGGTATGGGGATGAAAACGGCGAAGAGTCAAGATACATGTACTAAACTATGTATTTATTTTGCATGCGTTTTTAGGTAGATGTACCAGTGATCACTTGGTAACTTCATTGGTCATTGCTCTCGCCTTAAAATACTGTAAAGGATTGTTTGCTTTGATTCAGGTTAAATCATTGTATCATTCAAAAACATGTCGCGGTTGAATTATTAAGAAAAAAGTAACAATGTTCAGGACGATAGTTACTTTATGTCAATGGACTACTGGCGCAGGTTCAGATTCTTTATTGATACACATCTTTACCCAAAAGTTACAATCAATGACAGCACAACTTATCACAACAAAACAACACTCTACTATTTTAGCAGAATTCAAGTTGACCACAAGCTATAGCTTGGAATTTTTGCAAATTCATCGATGACTCAAATTTCACTTGGCCGTTAACTCAACGTTGACATTGTCAGATAAGCAGGGCAGGAGTACGTGACGTCCTAGAGAGCGAGCCCTCCTTGCTTTTATCTCCATCAGATATTTAGGCTACACACTTTATCTAAAAAGTCAGCTTTAAGAGCGCACTCAGAACAAGAAGGTCTGAGGACTAACAGATCTGCAGATCAAGCATGGCGTGCGTACCCACTTAAAAAATACCGACTAATTCCCTGAAGGTCTCTCCGTCTCCACACGCGCCGTCCCTGCAGGAGCTTAGCAAATAAACCTCGGGGCGGAGATTTAATCTGTTTAATGTCGTGTGTGCAAGTGGGGAGAGCACCAGGGAATAAGTCGGCTTGTTTCTGAATGGGGTCGGCCATATTTAGTCCGAAGATCTGTTAGTCCGTGGATCATCTGGTTTTTTTTTTTTTTTTTTTTTTTTTTTTTTTTTTTTTTTTTGTGCGTTCAGAGATATTTAGATAAATATTGTGCGTTCAGAGATATTTAGATAAATACTAAATATTAGCTTACAAGTATCTGGTTTTAAGCTTAAGACAGCATAGTGTATACAAAAGAAACAGCATATTAAAATAAAAATAAATTTCACCAGAATGTAAATCAAGCTTGTTATCAATTTACTCAGTCTATAGTCTAAATTTAAAAAAACTATTACGGGTAAGCAAGTATACTCTTTTCATAGGACTCCCTTGTATCCCCTTGATAATGTTAAATGAATGAAAAATGACAGTTACAGTTCTTTTTCAAGGTTTCCTCATGTATTCGCTGTTATATGTTTTCTCTTTTTTCGGTGCTTGCATTGTCTTCGGGCCACGTCCCAAGCGTGTTTGGGGACCATCTCGGCTGTTGAATTTTTAAGATGTCCCTTTCATGATACAGTGTTATTCTTTTTATCTTTTAAGCTTTGCCAACCCATCAGGTTGCTGTTGAACTATGTAGAACAAGAGTATGAAGAGAAGGTATACGTGCTTGGTCCAGGTAACAAACGCTTGTGATCTCTGTATCTCTCTCTCTCTCTCTCTCACACACACACACACACACACACACAAAAACACACACACACACACACAAAACACACACACATACACACACAGATTAAGCGATCTCTTATGGCGGAAAACTGTGTTTCTATTAATGATGAACAATGTGTTTTCTGGAAAAAAAAAAGATCTTCCAGTGCCCTTTCCCGTCATAGTGCCATTACACACTGTAATATTTGAAGCGCGATATGCTACTGTTCCGTACAACTATTTCAGGTCCTGACTTCAACGATGAGGACTGGACTGGGGAAAAATTCAACCTTGGATTGTCATTTCCAAACGTACGTAATTGTGTTAGCTGTGATAGAGAAGAAGAGAAAAATGTGATAGCTATTTTGTGTCACTCAAGGACTATTTTTTTTCCTTTTACAGTGTTATTTTTCCTCATCGTTTCCTATGTTATGTATGATTACGTTAGCTAACGACCTAAATAGCGTTATGAAATCCTTTAGCATTTGTCTCTAATCATGAATATACACATGTATTCCATATAAACTAGTATAAAATTGCATCGTGGAATTTATGCTGTTTTATGATTATCGCTTTGAACAAAATGTGACACTATTAGTTAGTAAATGCTTGCTTCTCTTTCAGATCCCCTACTGGATAGATGGCGACACTAAGCTGGTGCAAAGCCATGCTATCCTCAAATATCTGGCCAGGAAGCATAACCTCTGTACGTCAGTTCAACTACATCCACAACAGCTTTATTAGATCTGAGACATCTGTTGCTGATCAATGTCATTAATTGTTATGGACTATCTAGCTACTTTATATACCCTCCACTTTATTTTAACTGCTATTGAGCCGTAGGGCCTAACACAACCCGATTGTAGTTTTACTGCGTTTCACATGTTCTTCTAAGTTAAAAGTAAATTTAAGACGTCAGTTTTACCGCAACTTGAGTCAGGAAGCATCAAACTGTCAAACTGAGTTTGATGGACCTCAGCCGCAAGTTTGGACTGATTTAGGTAAAAAAAATCGGTAAATAAATTTCAACATCTATCGCCCAATTAAAGTAACTGTTATTCTTGTACACTGTAAGGTATCAAATAGAGTGATTTAAAGTATACAAAATATTATGGTATTTTAGGTCCTACGTCAGAGCCAGACATGACAAGATGCGACATTCTGGAATACCAACTCCTGGATTTTTTTACGGACCACGCCCTCGTTTGCTACAGTAGATTTAAGAAAATTGACCATCATGTAAGTATTTCCATGCTTGCCCTTCTTTTTCTTTTCATGTTTTGGTAATATTTTTGAGTAATAGGTGGTTAATGAGACACATGTGATAGGCTTTTTCCATAATTGCAAACCATTTAAACACTTAAACAGCCGCTTTAGTGCCTAACGTTTAAACCGCCAAAACAAAAGCAACCTTTCACCGAATTTGCTTTCAAGTTGATGTCGATACATTGTCTGAAGATCATACAAAAATTGATTAAGTATTTGATGATACTTTAAGTTACACACAACTGAATGATGATACAAAATGGTAACACGCAGTGTTTCGTCCTAGGAAACAAGAAAAGCCGAATTTTTAGAGAAACTGCCGGACAAGCTGAAGCAGTACTCGGAGTTCTTGGCAGACCGCCCTTGGTTTGCAGGCGACAAGGTGAGGGTGTGCTGTGTGTGGAAGGCGGGACGGCGGAGGCAGCAATAATTTCTGCTGATTGTGATTGGTTAACATTTAGACCTATCATATTTCTGTATATATATATATATATATATATATATATATATATATATATATATATATATATATTCAGTTGACCAGGTTGTTTGTTTTGTCAATGTAGATGGCAGGGAAAATGGAAGATGTAGTTTAGCCTTCTTGTACGGTACCCAATCTCTCTCTCTCTCTCTCTCTCTCTCTCTTAATTTTACTTGTACGGCACTTACAATTAACACTGCTCTGTGTTTCCCTCAGATCTATTTCGTGGACTTTCTGGCCTACGATACTCTGGACATACAGCGCGTATTTGCCCCTGGCTGTCTGGACGCCTTCAAGAACCTAACAGACTACATGGCAAGGTTTGAGGTGAGACGTTTTGAAACAATGGACCAGTTTGCTTTATCTCTGATAATAGTTTGATAAAAAACACATGTTTGACCCTCCAAAGGCCTATTCCCAATGCAACAATGGTCTGATGGGTCGATCCAACTCTGCAGGGACTCTTGCTATATGCAACCAGATGATCTGAATGACAAGCCACCTTTAGCAACCCTGAAGCCGAGCGCACACGAAAGTTAAATATTTGTTGATTTTTTTTTTTTTCGTCAGTATAAAATCTAACGTCGTCATTTGGGTAAGCATCTTTGTTTATACATTTTTCAGAAACTGCTGTTGTCAAAACATGTGATTTGTTTCTCTTTCAGGCCCTTCCTTCAATTCAGAAGTACATGCAATCTGACAAGTTTTTGAAGAAACCGATTTTCAACAAAGTGGCGGACTGGCGCGGTGACTAATCACAAATTTTCGACGTCGACTTTTCACAGATTCCACATAAAACTTAACGGAACCTTGCTTAATGGGAGTTACAAAGTGGCATAGCACTCGCTTTCTCCATTTACTACACTGAATCATAACCAATGCTTTCGACGTTGTTACTTTTGAATACAAATGCACTGTACATGTAGGTGAGAGCCTCAGTTCAACCGGTCTCATCATGTCCAAGTTACGTCACAGGGTCTAATTCGGACGGCGACCCCTGTTGGAGACAAACAAATGCTTTAGACCCCTCCCCTCGCACCCTTGCGTTCCAAATTCAAATTGTATATTTTTATATGAAAATCGACTGTGTATTATGCATGAACATTTTAACAAATATAAAATTGCACTTTTTTACTTCATCAAGACTGTCAAATTTGATGACGCGTTTGCTGACAGAGCCAGCTCAGTGAAAATAAAGCTTTTAGATTAAACTGCACTTGTCGCCATTATTATACTGATGTCGACGTGATGTCTTTGCTTTATACGTTCTTTCAATTGACATTTTGTGACAAACAAAGGTCTGCATTATACGTACATTTTATAACATATTTTATTTTATCATATTTACAAATTTCTGGTCATCTGACTGTTTCTAGATATGGTATGCAGCAGTAGTGTATTCAGATTCACTGTATTTTACAGGTGCTAGTACATGTAAATGTTACAGTCATTTTATACATTATGTCCAGACTTGTAACTTGCATACTTCATGCAATGTCCAAGACACCTTCCGTATGGGGGTTTCGCACCATTTACCTAAACCTGTTTACACATTGGGGTAGCTGGCGGCGGTAGCTATGCCGCAGTTGTTGCCACGGTTACGGGACATGAGGACGTACCCCTGCTTGCCCCAGTTAGGCCCCCAACTGAAAAAAAGCACTTTAATAATAAAGATGACAGGAATGGTATTCCGCTAGGAACCGTAGTCCGTTGCCCTATCACTTAACTGAGTAACCCTAACCTGTAATAATCATATGGTACCCCAGATTTCCACTCCTAGGACTACCATACCCGTCGCATCGGGTTCGCAAAGGAACTTAAGACCGAAAGTATAGTTCTTAACTTTGACTTATGAAAATTGGTACATGCAGTAGTGTATTTTAATACACTATTTTTAAAAAACGTCTGTGTATTTTTAAAAAATGGCACATTACGTCTGTTGTAGACAAGGAAAGTGATAGCATATGTTTCAGTCCAAATATTACTTCACATTTTATTTACCCGGTACATGTAAGGCAGCTACTAGTATTTTTGTATTAATCATGAATTCAAATAGACCAATTAATATTTGGTATTACGGTTAAGACCAGCATTCGGTCTTTTGACGTTTTGTTTCACCGTTTCCGATTTACAGGGGTACGTCCATTAAATAATTATCATATTAATATTAGAGTGAATGCAGCAAGGAATGTGCATATGTTACCGTAAACATGGTTGCTAAATGTTGGTGTAACGTGACAGAAAGTCCCCATGATAGAGAGTCCGCTTCCCGTTCATTTGTACAGGTAAGCCTCGCCCTAGATTTTGACCCACTTCGGTCAGGCTAACCCTAACCATAATTATAACTACAGTGTACATGGAGTGCGGACTTTCTGTTACACGGACCCTCAGTTTCGTTACACCGGTCTTTCCGTACCTGTTTTTCACGATGTAGTAGTTGGATCCGTATCCTACCGCTAGCACTCCATGGTGCAGCTCTGTGCTACTACATGCTGGATTGTAGTAGATCCCGTCCCTGGGGATAAATACAAACTATAAGATCTTCATTGTTTTAAAATGTCCTGTGATAGCACGATATTATAATGCCTTTAAGTGTCTAGTATTTCCTCATTCAGAAACCAAGTCCAAGTAGCCTATTCCTTACGTGACGGATTTCGAAACAGGGCTCTGCTCTGCCGCACTACTTTTGCATGTAAAGAATGAAAAATGTGACCGTGATCTAGACTGGAGCATCCTATCACATCCAAGACGATCCGGTTTGTAATCCTAGGCTGGTGGCATGTAAACTACATTCACACTCATCGAAAATGATAAATGCTAAATCGTCATACAATTAACTTGCTTATAAAAATGACTATAAATGATACTTGGACACACACGTGTATATACCGGTATTTACCTGTACCTACCTGTAGTGATGGAAGGACGTGTGCCTTCCGTCGATACCGACGGAAATGGGCCCCACGCTACTCAGTGCGGAGGACAGGGCGATCTCACTACCACGTGGGAGCGCAGTGTACCCCTTTATTGTAGCTCCCACGTCACTCTTGCTGAAGTGACAGGTGCCGTCCTGTCGAGTTTAGAAGAAATATTTTACTAAATGGAGTGAATTTACAGATATATTAGAGGCGGTCTTCATATAAAAGTATAATTTTCTCTCGCGAGCCTCCCGTTGGACTTTTATATGAATATTAAATTTGAATTGCGTCGTCATGTCGAAGCTCATTAGCCTCAAATCTCTATTTAAAATTTTCAAAATTAAATGATTCTCTTTTATGCAAGTACATTGTATATTATTCATGGAGTTTGCTGCATTTCAGCTACACTAAAAAGTACTTTTCATAAATCTAAGATGGAAAGCTATTTTAAAACCATTTTTTGTGCTAAAAATTGACCTCTTTCACATCATCTTGACAGGAAAAAACTCAATGAAATATGCAAATCTCTAAAGGGATTGATAAATAACGAGTTAGTTCATTTCTCCTGTCCCTCACCTGTGCCGTGTACGGGTATGAGCTCTCTGTGTCAATGCCCCCGTTAGCTGCGATATACTTAAATGCCTTGTCCATGTTACCTCCTTCACAACCGTGATTATCTTGACGAAATAATAAATATTTTCTCAAATGGGTATGAAATGTTATCAAGCTTTTTTAGATGGTTGTTAAAATTGTCTAATATCTCATTTGGTCAACTGGGACTATTCGGCAAAATCAATTAAGGGTTTTGGGGAGGACTGATTATAATACTATCAGTGGAAATTTATACAGAATGACTATACCGGTACACGAGAGAGAGAGAGAGAGAGAGAGAGAGAGAGACCAAGTGATCGGGTGGGCTGCACTCACCGTAGCTTTGAGAGCAATCCACCAGTTGCTGTTCGGAGAGAGAGACCAGCTTGCCGGTAGCTCTCTTGTGTTGACCTTCCACGGAGCCGGTGGTGGAGAAGGCCCAACAGGAGCCGCAGTGATGCTAGGAGGATATTTGATATACATACCCAGCAAACACGTCACTTTGGTACCATGCGGGTAATCCGTCGCCATGGCGTTATAATGTGGTAGCAACGTGCTATCCACGACGTGACGTGATCCGAACATGGCGTGTTTGCTGGGTAGATACTTTTTCTATATGGAATACATGGTGATCTAGACGGCCATGGCCGAGAAAATGGAGGGAAATATTAGACAAAATCTATGAAGTTTTTTTCCTTTCTTCCTATTTGGTATATGCAATAAATAAATACATAAATAAATAAATGTTTAACCCCTTCTACCTGTTTGGCCTATGTAATAAATTGATATTAAATAAATAAATAATTTTGAAAATATTGTTTTCAAATCCTTGCTTCAAGACTACACATTACATAACCCACCCCATTGATTCCCTGTGTTTTCACGCCAGTGACGTAGCCCTTGGTTCTCCAGTCCACGGTGGCGGCCAGTTTCTGGTCGGAGGGGGGCAGGTACAGAGATCCGGTCTCGTTCTGGGACATGACGTAACAGCTCGTGATAGATGCAACTTCCGCTTCAGTCTTAAGAAAAAGTAAGAAAATAGGTTGCCTCGCTATACTGTCGTTTTGCATTGTTTTCAAAAAAAAAAAACATCAAACAACTAAAAACGTACCGAAGGTTTTTTCACAATTTTAAAATTCGGCGACACAATGAAAACAGCCGCAAGCTATTTATGGAGTTATTTGAAATACACAAGACATTTTCTGAGATGTTGGACACCATACTCGCTTCCTGACAAGTTGCAGATTTTCTACTGTTATAAAAATGAACTAGATTGGAGAATGAAAGATGGTTCTGCGAGCGCCAATAACGAAGGTATAAAATCAAGCCCATTTTTTTTCTTTATTGCGTGAGAACAGATAAAGCTGGTAATTATTATTTTATCATATAAGCAGCTAGACTAATGTTAGTTACCTGTAAGTTTCATTTGGACAATTCTTGCGCTCACTTACTTTTAATACAATTTTTAAAATAGTTAAATGGACCTATATATTGAGAATGAGTGACTAATGAATTGTTGTACATTGTATTCGACTTACCATGTCATTGAACTGGTTGGAGCCCACACTGTAAGTGTGAAGACCCATGTCGTACTCTCTGTTGTGTTTAACTTACCATGTCATTGAACTGGTTGGAGCCCACACTGTAAGTGTGAAGACCCATGTCGTACTCTCGGTTGTGTTTGGCGATCCACTGCAGTCTGTCCTCCCAGATTGCTCTCCTGAAATTGATCAAACACAGCGTGACAACGTAGCTAATCAGATGTGCAGCGATCTTATTTATTCTCATACTAATGGTGGTGGTTTTTGTAGGGATTGGGGTGAATGAAGTTATATTTTTACATTTGATGAGACATTTTATATCTCTCATACGTTAAGACTTAAATGGGTAAGATATGCCACGAGAAAATTATAAACCAAGCTAACCCTAAATGGAATTCAAGGAGCTTTTTCTTTCGCTTTAGACGGATAACTTGAAGATTTAATTGAGAAAGTAGGCGACATTAAATTTTTTTCCAATCATAACTAACGATAATAATGAGGGGGGCAACAGCAATTTACCTGTAAGATTCCTCGTTACTGGTCCTGTATGATTTCCCATGGAAGTTCTTCCATGTTTCCCACTCAGAGTCCAGGGTCTTGTCAAAGTTATAGAGCTGAGAGAGGGCCACGCCCACACAGGCAAATAGTACCAACAGACGCATCTGGAAGGTAATTATGATAACACAACATTTATACAATGATTATTAGACAAAATACGTAGCCAGAGACAGGGCCAAATGGAAAGAAGTGACTGAGGCCTTATGCCCCACACGGGACGAAGAGCACTGATGATGACGATTAGACAAAATAAATCATACTATAGTAGGAACATGTAAGGAGCAGGGATATCAATATTGATTGATTTTTTTCTTTTGATCGTTATAGTTTTGAAGGAGGGGTAAGGGGGGTACAAAGGGGGTCTTAAGTTAAGGGGGATACCGTCGTACCATATGATGGTACAAACAATATGTAAACGCACTTACCTTGCAGGAAATCATTCCCTCTAAACACTAGAAACAGGACAACGTTTAACAAGCTCTAATTAATTATAACAGTGCTGGTAAAATTAGTAAAAGATATGATTTCGTTTATCTCATTAGCATTGATGATATTTCCGTCTTTGATAACCTATTTTACCGATTGTACAACGCACACCTAATCATGATGCCCTTAATATTCAGGCTACCTGATAAAATATGTTTAAATTGTTCACTCATTTCATCGTGTTGTTTCTATTTTTAATGAATGTGTGTGATATTGCAGTAGATGTACTCACCGCATTCCTGTGTCTCAACCGCGTCGCGTCTCTGCCACACTCCCACTGTTCATGGTTTAAGAATAAACTCTACTTATATTTATAGGTCCCCTTTCTGTTCATCTGTCTGTATCTTGCAACCTTTTCGCTCTCATAAAAGCATGTGCACATATAGAGTAATATTTGTTTATGAAAGGTAAAGGCAATCCTTTTCTTTTGAAAAAAGATGAGCCGTGTGGTATTTGATGCATGGAAGACGTGTTCTAAAACCGCACGGTCTTTGTTCACGTATGTACAAAACGATTGCAGCATTGAATGCATACACCTTTAGAACATATCCAAGCTTTGTTTAACTTTATTGTCCATATTTTCTGATCGCTTTATTATAGAGGTGTCGATCTCAAATTTTGTCAATGTATTGCTTTTGTTGGATGAAGACCTCTCAGGTTAAGCCCCCTTTACACTGGACGGCGTCCCTTCTGCGTCCAGCAGTTCGGCCCCATTTGAGAGTTAAAGAATTATAATACTTTACGTGCCGACAACTGGCCGATCATTGAGCATTCATTCTGATACCAAATCAATGCTCATGCCTCCTTATTAAGACCACAGCGATGCCAAATTTCATGGTCGCAGAAAGGAGGCAGAAAGGACGCCGTCCAGTGTAAAGGGGGTATTACTGAACAATGTATGGCAATTATACGGTGCGTTATATGAGTATATATGAGTATATCATATTTCGATAATTATCTGGGCCTGTGTACGTGACACATGATAAAAGGCGAACGTAACGCATTAAAGCAAATCCTGTAAATTAGACAAGATTTGACGTAACAATTTATATAATCATTTCCGTACGTGTCATTAATAGTTCATTGCAGTTTTTATGCCTCACCACATTGACGTAACTCAAGAAAGGAAGGCATGTATAGATAAGGAGAGAAAAAGATACATCAGAAGATAGATGGAAAGATGGCTGGACGCATGAAATGAATGAAACGAAGGAAAGAGATACAGACAGACGCTCTGGGTAAAATTGACAAAGGTCCACGAAAGTTTCACGTAAAAGGTTTATAGAACCGCTCCTACGAACCCCCTGGCTACGGGCCAGAAACGTAAAGTGTAGGAAAGTGAGAATAATATAAACATTGGCATAAAGGAAAGCAACCTCTCTATAACAAAAAGCATAATAAACCTCTATAAGTCAGTAAGGCTGCGGGTTTGTGTTTGTTTTATATATTATTTATATTGTATTCCAGCTCAAAAATAAGGTTACGCTACGGAGACAGTCAAGGTGAACCAATATAGTGCACTGGCCTTTACTTCGACGAAATATTATCAAAAGAAGAGAAATCATTAAACAGCAATTAAACCTCAATCAATTAGTCGGATATACGTAGAGAGGCTTGTTCTTTTACTACACTCCTGTACACACCTAGCTGTCGCATATATCGGTTTTAGCCTAGTAGATAAAACATCAATGAAAGACAGTGGGTTATATAACAGTCAAGTAAATAAACAAACCGTGTATCAAATGTCAAATAAAAGGTGATCCATATCTTTATCGATCGATAGAGCGTCATATGTTAATAATAACACTGATATTAAAGTATCGATACGTTCCTTATACTGCGTATCCTATCGATTGCAAGTGAGAAATGTTCATATTCCACTGGCTGGTGACGAGGGGGACTCTGCTCACTGCGCGCTTCGAGTAACATTTATTTGCTTTGTGACAAAATTGATTTTCGGCATTGGAAACAATGTGCGGTCAGTTACACGGATAAGTCAGGTAAAGGAACGGTTAGTGCAGTCGTATGCATAAATACAAACAACTGCTAGCAGATTAACGGTGCAGATGACTTAACAGAAATATTAATAAAGTATGGGTTCAAGGACAAGTTATGACTCTTATTACGTCAATAGGGGCATACCGAACACTGGTAAACGGGTACGTGGAAAAAATATAACCTGTCGTGCTGTGCCGCGTCGCCTTTACATCCTTATCAATACTCCAATGTCTTGGTCTGTGGTTACACATTATGTCCAGACAAAAACTTGTCAGACCTCAATATTTGAGCCTTTGGTATCATTGTTTTAGTTGACCCTCCCCAGTGTTGACGCAAAAATAAAGCTGAGGGCGGAGTTTAAAATAAAGGAAAAGGGTACCAACCTTACACGATCCCCCTAAGCACTGGAAATCGAATAATTTTTTTTATGAAAACATTTTGTGCGTCCCCTGTCAGTAGATGGAGCCCAGAAGTTGTTAAACCCAACACTATCAATGACCAGAAAGGCACTCAAACCCCCGCAAAGGCAGCTCAATTTTTAATACTTTTATTCAGAAATAATCAATAAATGGATAGCTATCAAAACCAAGTTGATGCTAAGTTTGTCCTTAAAATTATGACGGAATATTTCTTGAGTAAGACTGTTAAATAACGGACCAACAAAAGCAAAAAAAAAAGAAAAAAAAAAGAAAAAAATCCTTGGCGAAAGTGGATTTTTATATCTCTTATCGGTCAATTGAATTAAAAAATCAAGCTATTTTCTAAACCATCAGTACAAAGCACATCCCGGGAACGTGAGACTTGAGCTTCGTACTTCACACAACGATTATCCTTGACAAAATTACCCATGGCAGTCATTTCCTATCCACGAGGGCAATTATCCCAGTCAAATGTGAAACCATCGAAAATCAAATAAACAATATCGACAAAAAACATATTAATATTGACTCACTCAGACAGGAAATCATTTCATAATGACCCTGAAAGTGGTTCCAGGCAATTGTTTGTGGAAATTAAGTCAACATCTGCAGACACTTTGAAGTATCTGGGAGGTTCTCGAGTCGAGGAAAAACCATACGCATGCGCGTACGAGTCACTAATGATGAGCCGTCTGTGCAGTGCGCATGTAAGAATGCGCACTTATACCATTAATCCTTTAAAATATTATCAAGTAAAAGAAAAAGAAAGAAGAAGGACATATTCATGCTTTGTACCAAATATTGACATGTTTGCCCTTGAGAATGTAAAAACGTTCAACGCAGAGATGTGCCTCATTATCCCATCGGGTACATGCAATTATAATACTGCAGATAATCACTGGGCCCACGATGTCGTAATGATGGATTCATACTGAGTCCTGTTCACCATCTTGTAAGAGATGTAATAAAATAAGTACAGGGGACGAAGCCAAACTAATGGACTTAAAAGATTGCAATAGCACTTGTAGTCATTAGTGCGGTGTAATTTTCAGACAAATGTACCTTGTTTTTATAACAGAAATAAGGTAAAACTTTCCCCTATATCGTCATCATCATATATATTACTTTATAAAACTTATTTAAGCCAGGTTTCCAAATTATACTGATGACTTAATAAAGGGGACATATAAATATATTTTCTTTTTTTTTTTTTACTAACATAAGGTGGAATCTGTTATTTTTCTTTAGTTATTCTTTCGCACTGTAAAGTTGTATCCAGATAGGATACATGTACATGTATAGGTCACCCATTTGTATATAATTTAAGTGTTTTTTATACCTCTGGTCAAGAGGTATAATATTCAGAAGATGAAGTGACATCCACATGGAGTGTCACAGTGACAGATCAATGTGATTCATATTTAATGGTTTGAAAACATGACCGTTACTTCGAGAGCCATGTAAGAAACACATTATGAAATTACCGTCCATTCTTAATTGCAGACCAATCATAATCACATACAAATGTCAGATATTTTTAATCCATTAACAGCTGTCACGATAAGGCTCCTGTGGAAATCGATATCGAGGAAAAAACCGAATCATTGCTTGCAGTGTGCCAGCCAAGTGCGATGGAGTCAATACTAAAATCGCGATGGATTTCCCTGGCATTTGACGGTGATTGTGACTGAAACGCCCTTAAGTCTGCTGTCTGTTGTTCATACCTTAGCCTGTTATATAAACCGTGGTTGAGAGCTACAAGAGACGGAACGGGAAGGCCCTAAGGATTCCCGACCGATTCTCCCAGCAAATCATTTTAATTATAGATCGAAAGTAGAATCGGGTCAACACAACATCCTTGCTTTGCTTGTCGATGGGTCGATATGGGCACGTATAGCTGCTGCTGGTGCTGTACTAAGAGAAATAGTGTGTGCGTGTGTGTGCGTTTGTGAATACGAAGTCCTATCGAGCGGGGAAGGCGCTGGTAGAGGACGGACGTTAAGTCCGTTATTCACTCAGTTGAGGAGGTAAGGCACACACAGTGTGGGATCTAGATCCTACCTACAGGATGCTACCAACGGTTGGTTAAATATTCATCTGATTCAAAACTCACTACGATACATCTTCTTAGAACCAAGCACGACGCTTAACCTGAAATGCAGTAAGTGGTGAATTCTAATACTGGTCGTGCCATGTGTATGCTCTCTCGCAATACTAGCCGATAGCGAACACGGCTGCATGACTAAGTCAGAAGGACAATTTTGGCAACAATTTGGTCCAATTTAAACTGTTCAGCAAATTACCAGAGCATATTCAACCGGATAATGGACTGACTCGATAACTAATAAGCCAGCAGAGGAGAAGATTTGATAGGAGGGCTGCATCACATACAAACATGGCCCAGTTTGATGGGTATTGCTATGGAAACCAAAATTGTGTGGCAATACGTTAGCTCAATCACGCACTGTTGCTTGCTGACGTTGCAGCGCTAATTATTGCATTATTACCAAGAATATGGTAAACCGCTGGATAGAACAGAGATGACATAACGGCGTCGAAGGTAAACCAGCATCATATTATTTCCAACCGCTGCATCGCACTGCATTGGACCATGAGTGACAGCTTTATTGATTTATATAAATATCAAATGTCAGGTTCATCTGCGGCAACGGCAACAGTAATGCCATTGTTGTTGGAGCTTTTACAATATTATCAGCTGTTGCAGTCTTCACGTCTCCAGATAATGTTCTATTGATTTATACCAACAGACTTGGTCCAACTGCTGCAGCAACAGTAACAGTATCTTTACACCGGATATTAAGCAGTCGCGATATTTTCAGATGCTTTATAAGTCATATTGCCGATGCCATTGGCACGGTACATATAGGCCTACACAGTGACGGTGGTAACACTTGGAGCTTATCAGTACTGGCAAAACTGGCATTGTTCATGTGTTTAGAGGAGACCATTGCTATAGCAAAGCGTTGGCTGTGAGCCTCGAGTGATTTTGCATCCTGCTTGCCTTACCGATAGCCACACGCATTGATAGCTGTGAAAAGGTGCCCATTTCAACATAGGACGACTGTACATATGCTTTGCCTATACTGGAGATTAAGTATTGGGGCAGAACCATTATGCTTTGATTAAGACTCGGAAATATTATGATCTGATGTGGATATCTAGGCCACGTGTCCTGGAGACGTCCACAGCTTCAGTGCCTTCACAGGGCTTGCTTTATGAGAACGAAGGTCAGGGCGGACGGTCGCCAGCCTGTCTCTGTCGTTGTATCTTCTATGCATTTGTAAATATATATGTGTGTGTGTGATACTATAAACGAACTCAGAAAAGAGTGTGTATCAAATGCCTCCGGTATGAAGACTTTAATGTAGAAAATAAGCTGCCAGTAAGGTTATTATTGCAAGACGTATGATTTAATGCTCAGATATTAATAGAGCTGGCAGAACGATCAGTTGATGCTATTGTTTTTGGTCTCTGCATCAGAGTAATATTGTCAGCTGAGTAATTGCGGATAGATTTATCCACTCGGTCAGTGCGATCGATTAAGTATTCATATAAGATATAGGGCAAGGTGACATACATCAAACTGAGAACGGGACCGGAAGTGACGTCATTATAAGTCCAAACCGTGTCTGAGAGACAGCGTACCATTGGCCACGTCGTATACACGTGCAGCATGTGACATCACGCCAAATGACGAACTAAAACGAGCACATACATAATGCTAGCCAGAGAATGGTGAGCTCTCTAGACAATTTGGATTCAATATTCCAACCCCACAACTCATGGGCTATATGAGCGCACTGTTCTATAATCATTATTTATTACATTTCCAATAATGTGGCATTTACTGAGGCTTGAACGTATTAAGTCTCCTTGTATAGAGTCAATACATCGGTCAAAGTTGAAGTTGCATGTTAAATACCAACCGAGAGAAAGGATCGCCTATTATATAGGCAGATTGGAATATGCGTTCGGCTAAGAATTGTCTCTGGCAGGGTCTGCTCCATTGGAATTGATCTGCGTGGATTGCACCTGTTCGCATAGGAAGTGATTTGGGGACCAAGCTCTCTTGGTTTTCAGTAGTCGCAAACACCCAAGTCTAGCACAGAACAGACAAGGTGTGTTGCATTGTGCTTCAGCATCGGGCAAGGTGACGCGGGCAGTCGCATGTACTTTTGCTGTTTACCAACCGCTTGATTACACTAAATACTCCACTTTGTCTGTTGTCTAGGTATGCGGTGTACCTCAGATATAAGGTGACATTGGAGGTCGCGATCTATTAATCACTACTGCTCAGAGTTTCACATTCAGTTTCAATTACTCCCACATCTCATGCGTGGTTCTGCATGCTTGATTCCTCGTTTATGAAATCCAATAGGGCAGTATTGATGTAACTCGAACAGGAAAAGTCTCTTAAGAGCCAGACGTGACGTCACTGAACATAAAAGAGCATTCTTGGAAGTATGGGAGAATTAAAACCCGACAAACTGTTGCATGTCAGGTAGCGACTGGAAACCTCACGGCTTATAACATATTCAGCCACTGGGGTGGCATTAATTTACTATGATACTCGCATTTGTTTCCCAGATTTACCAATGAATTGATTTGGTGTTCGTATTTTGCATCCCTAGGAACGAACACACGTTAAAATCTTTAGCGGGAGATTTAGATGCTGAAATAGATTCTTTTTGTGTGAACCCCAAACAACGCTGTTCACAGAATGGGTAAGACCGTGCACCTAACGGCAATATACCGATAAAGTCCATTCTCAAAGAAATTAATATACGCAGATAATACGATACTAAAACATCTTAACAATGGGCAACGAGACAAGCAGCCAACCTTCCGGGAGCAACACGCCCGATTCCGTCTCGGAATACTACTCATCCTACACCCTGGGCCAGGGTTCGCGTCGGGCCCCTAGCAACGTCTCCACGTCGTCGTCAAGGCAACTGTCGCCCGTGGACCCCCCTGAGCCTGACCTGAGTCACCTGACGGAGGAGGAGAAGGCACAGATCACGGCGGTGCTGGAGAGGGCCAGATGGATGCACGAGGAGGAGGAGACAGCGGCAAGGTAAGTTTAGAATGACTAAGGACGAGTGTTGTATCTGTATAGTTCCTGTCACACCTAGCGTATGGCAGTATCATATGGGAAAAATTACCCATACGCAGACGAATGCATGGGTTTCGTTAGACTTATCTCGTAAACGCCTCGAGCACGCAGGCAAACGTACATTGGCGCTCGCTTACCAAGAGGGGTGTAAAGTGTTTTGAGCATAAATATATTCAAGAACAATTCGTTTGCTGCTTGTATCTTCATTTTATTTGTTGGAAACAGGGTGATTCCTTACATTCAAAGTTGTTCGTGTAATTGATGTCGCATATGATACCCACACGCACCTCTTAACGCTAGGTGTAACACTGACTTTATATCGGATATTGCTTGATCATATAAGGTCTCCAGTGAATCGTCCATATTGAAATACAGGCCCGTAGCCAGCAATTTCAAAAGGGGGGGTTCTTTTTCTGAAAAAGTGGACCTTTTCCCATAAAAACTTCATGTACCTAGATCAAATCTTACCCAGCGTGGCCCTTTTCCAGCAAAAGGGGCGGTTCTTTCGAACCCCCCGACCCCCCCCCCCCTGGCTACGGACCTGAAATATGTATGCTGAATAACAAAAGACACATAGGTACAGGTTTTTGAGTTTGCGCTTAATGAGTTTGCACTTAATGAAGATTACTAAAGCTGACAATCAGGTGCAAAATGACAAAACGTCGAAGATTGGCGTGATTTTGCTGTGTTTTAAGTCCAAAGGATTCCAAGCAACATATGTTTCTCTTAAGTAGGCCTCTTACGTATTCAGTTCTCTCCCCTTCCTTTTATCAGATTTAAATCGCCCATTGCATGCGCAATCTCCGAACCAAATAATGTATTTCGACGACCCCGAAGACTGAATACTATTATGATATCATTAAATAAAGGCGATGACATGGAGAAATATATACCGTATATGTTCAAAGCTGCAGGCCTTCCGCTAAATTTTTTACTGTGTGGTACACATAACGGGGATATACACAACTCTATTGGTACATATGTGTATAAATTCATAAACTGGCCGTCAGGCCGATGCGACTGGAGTTTTGACATCATTAAAACTGTTTAAACTCTTAAATGTATGATGGAGGTGACACATGAAATAGCGCACGTGGGCGTGTAAGAAACGTGGCCGAAAGGCAGAACGGCAGAGGGGTGTTACTTTTCTGATGGTAAGCACTTGCAGTTTATGCACGTTGCTGTAAAAGACGCCTTATTCAGAAGGCAATACGATGAAAAGCAATTACCAGCAGCTTGACAGTAAAGTACGTTTGAGAGCTAATTTTTCAGGAGCGTTTCTCGGTTGACATGTTTTGAATATGTTGAAAAAGCTCAAGAGAAATTTGCCAATTTAGTCAGTAATCACAAATAACCTACGTTTATATGTGGGATGCGTTCATTTTGAAATTAAATGCATTAATTTCACAATTGGCATGTACTTTGCCTGAATCCCTGTTTAAATAACCGCTAAATGTATATTTGGCAATCTCGATATCAACGTGGGCCCGCTGTTATCTCAATATTAAAACTGGGGTAATGAAGCTGAAAACCCTAGACAAGGTCTTTTCGAAGGGTTAATAATTATGTTAGCACCCTTTGTTATATAAAACATTATTATGAACATAGGGCTTGCAAGGTATTTTGGACATTTCAATGAAATCTCCACTTTAACTGTTATTGTGTCACATGTTTGTATTCATACTGTTGTCATGATGGATATAGAGATTTGGACAAACACTTGTTGCTTTTAGATGACAATGAAAAATTTGTTTGTTTGGATATAACCCCACTTTTCTTATAGGCCTATGGTTTTCCATTAAAGTGTCCGCCTCCGTAGCAGGGGGAATACACCATTCCTTCATTAACAGCACCTACTGTCTCCTCGCATGGCACTCAGCACTTAAGGGTAAACGACCTGGTCTAGCTGGCAGGGAATGATATAATTAGTATGTTAGCGTTGAGTGCCTCATACGACGGTTTGGTTGTACAGGCATCCTCAGAAGCCGAGAACGCCTACAGTCACATGATCCGTGCAATGCGTTCTACCTTTTGTGAGCTAAAAGTTTATGCCACTACCTAGGTATTTGTCACTGCATATTGCAAATACAAGCACTGCTCCCTTTTCATTATATGATCTTTTCTTTCTCTCGAGCGCGTCGTGTCTTCTTCCGTGAATATCCATGTTGCCTTTTGTATGCATGGTTGATTCAAACCAACGCTGTTACTTTGTGAATAGACAGTTTAGATACGCTACGCCAGTTATTTGCGGTAGTCGTCACTGCCCGTTTAATTGTTTTGTCTACCTCAGTTGTTTATACATGTTTTGTAACGGTATGATGGGGATCCACTCATCAAATATAGTGCAATTCCATATAAAACTGCAATAAGAGCTAGGATTAAGTATGAGCCACAGACTCGGTGTTGCAAAATAAAAGAAAGAAATGCAAATAAAGTAAATAATAATTTAAGCTTTTTAAGGTATCCTTTTAATTTCTACTCGACAAATGAAGTGACCAGAAATAGTCAAATGATCACGGTATTTCAATTCGCAGATACATGTTGTAGCACAGATAGTAGAGCTAGCGCCAGCTCAGATCTGACGCTTAAATGAGTCTGAACTTGACCGAAACCCATGCATAAAACGTCTGTCGGGAAGACATGATGTAAATAATGCAGGAGTCGTGGGTGAGGATTACCAAGGTCTGGGTGCAATCTATTCTATTGAGAACAGAAATGGGACTTGCGCCTAATGAAAGTTAGGTTAATAGGTGTACTGCAGCATTTGTAACGCAGCTCACTACCATTCAAAGTGACATTTAGTGTATATATCCTTTCTAGCATCATAAATTCCTTCTTTGGTGGCGAGGGAATGGCCAACATTTCATTACCAAAAAAAGAAGGTGAGTTCAGTGCCTTTGAACGGGGTCTGTGTACTCTTTTTCAAATCACACAGCTTCATGCATGCAATATACTTTGTAGCGGCCATTTTTATATTCTTAACAATCGAGCGACAAAAATGGTGATGACAACAATCCCTTATTCCACCGATCTCAAAACGCGGACCTTAAAACAATTTGCGGTTTTGCGGGCACTGCGTGGCGAAACCACTGCCTTCGTCTGCGGTCTTTCTTTCTTTTGTATTCGAGTCAAGAGTTGGTCCCTGCACAATTTCCTGTACCAAAGACTCTGTGATTGCACTTTATTCGTGCCTGATTGCCTGACAGCGACTGCACGAGGATGCGTCTCAAACAATTTGCTTAGCGGAAGACTTTTGGTATTAGTCTGGTTTTGATATGTCGGTATACGATATTAAGGACACATCCGGCGGTTGCCAACACATAATACGCTTTAAGTTCCGCCAAGGCGATTTCATCTTCTAAAAAGCCCAGTTAGACGCATGCACCACTGCGCATTTTCCATTCTGCCTTTGACTTGATCTTGTATCTGATTCTTGCGCAAAAGCGAGTACGCATGGCCAAATTCAATTTCATGCCACTCGCTGTCCATTAGCTATCTAATCTGCTGAATACATCGATCTTTGCATCCCGGTCTTCAAGGTTCTTGACAAGTTAAGAAGCACCTTGCATATACATACTTGTGCTTGTAGTATGAATGACCGCTCTCAGTGGTACCAAGGAACACATAGTTACAGTACCTTGATCGCGAAGAGAAATAAGTTACACCAGAGGGATAAAGTAACAGCATGATGTTATTAACATTCCACAACTTGTGCTACATTTATATCTTTTTAACGAACAAACGAGCACCAGCAGCTGCGTTATTAGATAACGTTTCAAAGGGTATACAATGATATTTACGTGGCAGAGACCGCGTGGAAGGGGTGAATAATAGTCGTATCTCAAATGTTAGAAAAACGTGCTACCTGCAACCTATGAGGTAATACATCAGATGGTTATACCTTTTAGGGATCGTAATCGGAGTTTTTAGGAAAAACCACAATAAATATAACACACTGCTATACCCAGTTTCTCAAACAAATGATAACTCGCAACTGCTATCTTTTGATGAATTCTAGTTCAATTTACCATGTGTGTATTTACGATAATGTTTTTGTTCTCTAGTGGCACAGGGCTCCTGGCTATCAGAGAAGAAAATTGAAAAATTGCAAACAACGACAGTGCCATCTGTTTTCTTAATATACATGTAGATAGGACATGCGCTTACGTGAGCGTAAAATGACAAATCGTTTGTCATATCTGGAAACATTCTGCTGCTCCGTCACAATACTACATACACTTTGATGCCTATAATGAAAAACATGTACAGATCGAGAAGAAAAAGTGACGATTGTCCTTAAACTTTTTGGATATATAATATAATATAATATAATATAATATAATATAATATAATATAATATAATATAATATATGATTTGATGTATAATGCACATCAATTGTACGATAAACACAACAGTGAATTATCTAAGCTTTCCAAACAGCCTTCTTGATCAGAGCAACGCAAAGCATTATCGTTAATGTTATGAATCCCCAAGAGAAGAAGCAGACGACCTGGCTACACATGTCACCAATCAGGTGTAAAACCGATTCTGAACGCTGACAAATAAGCACGTTGTCGTGTCTAAATGAATGCCTTTGTAACTGTCGCCAGTCTAACCTCATTCGACGTATAAACTATAAAATGTTCCAAACTTCTATACATTCTTGCTTAACTGCAGCAAACACGCGCCCATCATTGGTTCATTTTGTAAAACAATATGTTATTGCGCAGACGTCATGTTCTGAGGCACCATGAACTAATATCTAGGTTCCATCTAGGCAAGCCTGTTTTAACCCCAACAAAATAAACATACAGAGTTACACACGCAAACAATGAAACAAACAGACATATGTATATATTAATGAACTCGAGGATGCATAAATATATGTTTAGATTTATAAAATGTCTTTCGGTTCCGGTACAACCTGCATCGCTAACATACACCGCTCGATGCAAAATGA